GTAACAGTGCATCTTACCTCTTCCGATTTATAATTTTGATTGAAATTTTGAGTGCTAAGCAAGTTATTCGACGACTGGATCCAAGGTACAGTACCATACGGGCTCCAATTTCGTACGTCTTTTTCTTTTTCTCTGATACCAGCTTCTATCAATTGCAACTCCTGTGCTAGCCTTTCACCGGCCGTAAAGGTTGCTCCTTGCGTAGCAAGCTGAATATATATGTTATATTTCACTGTTATTATATCTATATAATACGTTTTACAATGTAAGAATGTACGATTTAGCAATACCTTTAAGTCATTGATTTTCTTCTCGAGATGTTTCAACTGCTGTTTCACTCTTTGTGACTCAAGAATTAAACTGAAGAAAATGGATATTAAATATAAATCCTCGAAATAGTTGACGATAGCCTAACTGTACAATAAGAGATTAACTTACTCCTTTGACATGCATTCTGGTCGTGGAAGTTGCGTGTACGTTGATGATTCCGATAAATTGCGACCAAAAGTAATGTAATTATCTCCAAAAGTAGAAGTATTGATAGATTGTACTCCTCCATTCGCACCGATAGCAGCATAAGCTATAATAAAATCACCCGTATATAGTACTTTATTACGCTAATTTTGTTTTATTAATTTCTGCATTTATACTACATCGTACGTACGTTGGTTACCGTAATACCAAGATGTAATAGAATTCGCCGTTGGCATAGGTCGATAGGCAGATATCGTAGGAGGTGCACCTCCTTCTGCATAAAAATTGGTAGGTTGTACGCCATTACTAGATCTATATAAAAAAGAAGAAAAAATCCCGAGTTATAAAATATTTTATATTTTCGTTTAATACATATAAAATTCATATAAAATTAGTCTTTTATACGAAGAAAGAACCGTTACCTCATTAGACTTTTGGATAGTTTGGAAATTGGTCCATATTTATTACTAGATGATGCATCAAATGGCACAAATTCGTCGTCAAATAAAATCGGATCTGCACATCGAAAGTTGTTGTTGCAATTAATATTTGACGGAGGAACCATAGGATTACTTGGCGTATTTGTCCATATAGAAAAATTTGACGACGATGTATCCCCTTGCATGTCGTAATTCTGTAAAAAAAAAAAGCTTAACAATAATATAAAAATTGTATCAAATATTAGTAACAATCTTAATAATTAAACGGCGATCGTACCGTTTTTATCTGTGGCACTTGTTTGTTGACAATCGTTTCAAGCTGATTTAAAATTTCCATCCTGCGTTGCAACAGCATCGCCAATGTTTTGGCAACTGTTCGCTGCTAGAATATGAATATATGCGAACATCGGATAAAAAACCATATAGAATTTTAACGCGCATAACGATATGCGTATACTTTCAGATACAATGCGAGATTTATATTACCTTTTTAGCACTAGAAATACCATTCGTTATATTGGATGAAACTTGCGATGTATCCCACATACCGAGATTAGATGTAGAGTAATCAACGGCTGTGTTAGGCATAATATAATGAGAGCAATACATATCCATATTTTTCGTCGGTACCATAGGCGAAATCCCTTGCGGAGGTGGTAGCATATAATTCGTCAACGATCCAACGAAATTATTTTCGTTTGTTGGTGTATGACGTTGCATTTGATTAACTTTATTTATAGAACTGAAATCTAGAATGAAATAAAACAACAATATATATTAATCAATGTTATACATTGAAATATTAATTGGATTAATTGCTTCCTATATTATTTAGTATAAAGCAATACTCACTCTCTCTATGAGTATTATCATGTGACTTTATAGAATGGTAAGATAAATCCTCATTCTGTTTAAACGTCTTATTGTTCGAGCAAGTGACGGATTTGTCCACCTTTCCATCTAAATTATTGGTTAAGGGTAAATTTGACCTGATACTTAACTTTCTATTTTTTGATCTGTACCTAATAATCGAGCAAATGAAGATTATGTAAAAATCCTATACTTGCGCTGGCAAAAATATTCTCGTTTAAATAACTGTGCATGTCCATATGCGTACTTATCCAGTTCCATATCGCTATGAGCGAATGTGCAACTAGTAGATCTAGGACAAGATCCTCTAAGTGCTAGATCTCGACACATGCTCACTTTATATTTGGGTTGACCTGGGCCTACACTGTGAGTACCATCTTGCGTCTTTCGGTTACCGTGTTGTTGAATAAACTCTACTAATGCTGCGACTACTGTTCTAACAGCTTCTAACGCTGCGCGACATTCTGCTAATGTAGGAGGTTCAGTTTCTGTAATAAAGATAACGAAACGAGGAATATCAAACAATTAATTTTTTAAGAAACGTATTCTAGTCCAGCATTTCGAAAAAATTCTTAAAAAAAAATTATACCTGGGCTGGGATCTATTGCAGCTAACAGTTCTAATTGAGGTCTTAGACTACTTAATTGTCCAGGGTCAGGAGTACGTTGAAGAGCGATAACCAATTCTTGTACGCTTTGAGCAAAAAATTGCGGAGTTTGAAGTTTATCTATAATACTTTGCATATGAGATTTATGACTGGTATCTCCATACAATAACGCAGACCATTGATCAGGCGCTATTCTTAAACCAGCTTCGGTTGCAATTTGCACTATTTGGGCATCGTGCTCTCTTCTTAAAGCTTCGTATGTTCTGAACTCTTCTTTTAATTGCATCAACGATGAATCTCCTTCTCGTTTAGATACCTACTTAGATATCATGATTAGAAATTATTCATATTTCCTCTTAACAAGTAATCAATTCAATTACCAAAGCAGACATTACCTTGAAACAACTTGCCCTATATAACAATTGTACAACGTGTCCTATGCTTGTTTTAGATGCTTGAGGAAAATGTGATTCTAAACGTTGAACTACGAACATAACTAACACTTTCCTAGAAAGAGCAGATCCATCTTCCAATGCCAATAGGACAAGTTTGAGTACTTCTTCTTGCATTGCTGATAATAAAAAAAAAAATTTTTTTTTTTTTTTGTAAATGTTAACAGTATTCCTATAAGTTATCTTATTTTACGTTAATATACCTGGCCCGAGAAACTGACAACCACGAGCACGTACAGCAGCCCACAAATTAGCGCTAAGCTGTTGTGGATTTTGATGTTGAAGTATTAATTCTGTAACCGACCGTTCACCTAGACTTCTAGCTGCCCTTACCGCGCGTGCTCTTCCTTCAGGTTCAACCAATTGACAACCCACAAGAGTTACTAATTTTCTCTGCATCGGTCGGGAAACAAATCCCATACCTCCTGTTATAATTATTAAATGTTATTTTCAAATTACTTCTCGTTAAATTACTAATAAATTATAGAAAAATATTCTGTGAACCACTATGTAATATTACCCGTGGCTAAAGTTGGATTTGTCTGACATGGTTTGAGATATAGAGCAAGTTCCTCAATACAACGTTTAGCAACCAAATAATTAGCATGGTCTTTGGGTGGTAGTAATTTCTGATAAGCTGTTGTAACATTTGTAGGAACAGGATTCCCTACTAATTGTAGCAGAGCTTCATTTACCGGCAATCTTTCTATTTCTGTATTGATGATACTCTGAAAAGCAAAAAAATTCTTTTGTCAAAAATCATTGTACATTTTAGAAAGGAACTGGTACAAATATCTTAATGTACAAATTGCTCGTATAAATTATAATGAAAATTACCAAAAAACCATTACGTATACACAATCATGTTCACGAAGTATCATTAGTTTTGCATACCTGATCGAAAGGACATTGTTTACGATGTAAATTTGCAAGGCACGTACGACATATAGTATGACCACATCCTAATGATATCGGGCCACGTATGGCCACATCAAAGTCATGACAGCAAACCGGACAAGAAAGAAATTCAGTCCACTGTGGTGCCTGTATTGGCATTCTAAAACAGAATCATCTTCCATCAATCTGTAATATTAGTCTTTCCAATGATAATTGCAAAAAATTTAATGTTTACAGCTAAACGTTACGTGTACATTTCATTAAATCTTTCAATTGCATTTGTTTAATGCTTATACATGTGTGTATATATGTATATAATATATATATACATATATGCGAACGATTCGTAAAAAATGTCTTACTGCGTTATCGTGATTGCGAGAAGTATCGCGTAATGAAATTGAATAATTTCGCTAGAAGAGAGAAAAGAATATTTGTTATGTTTAATAAATAATTACAACAAATTTGATCGATTCGTACGTTTAAAAAATTGGTACCAAATGGAAAGAAAACTTGGTTCGGATTGCAAAACATTTATCTATAGATATAACATTGTTCGAAACGGTAACGTTTGCCCATCAATTGTTTTTTACACAACAATATCGTGTTCCATCGATTATTTCGAGTGGAAAATGAAATTTCGTCGTGAATAAAAGTGCATGGAAAATCTTTTAAGAATACATCGTTTTGAACACGCAATTAGATCGAGCTCTTTCAATTGCTGTCGCTACCGCTCTTGTATTCGACAAACGTCTGCTCTACATAGAAAAGGAAAACGACATCCGCATTTGCCACGAGGAAAAATATCGAGTTGAAGAATTATCGTTAAAATGAAGGATAATCGAAAGCTCACCTCGTTAGTGCCCTCACAAAACATCACATTAACTACTCGGTTACTTCGCACATAGTTCTGCCATCGAAGCAAGAACAGATGAATCACAAATAGTAAGATGAGCTCAGCACGATATTCCTCGCGTATATACCTTTCTAGTTTCTACTTGTTTCTACTTCACTAGACCCATGACCAATCACGAAAACAATCTAGAAAAATGACATTCCACATTTTCTCGCCAGAGAGCGGTGCAAGCGACATAACCTTAGCAACAGAGATGCCAGATTCGGACGGCGCGTCGGATCCCAGTGCCCTGTATCGAAGGTGGTGCCGTGTGCCATCCAAAGAGTATGTGTTATCCCCACCAGTTACACCGATCTGGAATCACTAAAGAACAGAGACATCAGCGCCATCGATGGACCAACCTATAAACAAAGTTTGATCCCATATTATCAGTTCTCACTTCTCACCAATTCTCACTTTTCAACGAGATGAGCGAGAGCAATCGAGCATGAGGAAGCGCGAGTGCTCAGCAGTCAGCAGCAGTCAGCAGTGTACAGGCCCTAATAATATTCTTGACGTTAATCATCTTGCGAATACAACAAATATAAATGGTTATGAATTGTATTCGCGAATGGATCGCGTAATTTTTCAACGTATTGCTTGAACCTTAGTCATATCAGTTGGTCAAAATCATTAAATAAACAATACAACAACAAAATAAGAAAATAGAAAAACTAAATTCTAATTAAACATGATACGAGAAGACAATACGTTATGGACCACTATTGGGGAACGTATATTAATAAATGTGGTTTCATATCCTATCGAATACGCTAAAGTTTTAATACAGGTAAAATATACACAGTCAATCAATTATCTGAAAAATCAAATTTCATCGGAAGCTTATCATTTTTATTTATAAAATAACAGATCGGACATGAACCGATTCCACCACGACCGACAACTAATTTATTTAGACGGCCGGCTTTAGCTTTGCCCAACGTTTTTCAGTACGGTAAGCGATCCTTTCCACGAAATACATACTTTAAATTATCTTTAATTAAACGTAGAATTTTCAGTTATTTCATGTTTCAGTATTTTTTATAACTTTAGACCAGACTCTCTGAAAGGAAAATATTCGTAATGCACTGCAATTTTTTTCTCGCAATTGAAACAAAATATTTTTATTACTTTCATATTTTGCAGTTAAATACATAAAAAACGTAGATGGATATTCTGGGTGCTACCGTGGTTTGATACCAAAGTTATGTGCCCATACCATATGTGTCTTAGTTTCCGATGAAACGTCTTACAAACTTACGTGTATGTATGAGTCTAACAAAGAAAACGAAGAAAATTATATGAAAAAAAATTCCGAAGATGAAGGAGAAGACGGGTAATTATTTATGTCTCTGACATATCATCGTTATCAAAAGTTATAGTAATAAATATAAATATATTACCATTATGCTTCTTTTAGTCAAAAGCACAGAAGTTACATATTTGAATTCATAAGAGATCTGATTAGTAAAACGACTGCAATTATAGTCAGCCATCCATTGAATGTTATCGCATTGAGAATGATAGCTCAATTTGTCGGCAAGGAAACAAAATACAAGTATATTATTTATTATGCCATGTAAGGTACATGTAATTATTTCTATATCTACTGTTTTTTCTTTATCTGTTAATAGTGGACTATTCACATCATTTGTGGAAGTGTATAGAGAGAATGGAATCATGGGATATTATGCAGGATTAGTACCCCGCCTTATCGGAAACGCTATCGTATTAGTAATAGTTAGTTCTTCTACTTATGCCGTCGATAAATATTTATCGACTGTCACAACTGAACATGACATCAAACCAATTATTTGCTCCACTATAAACGTAAATAAAATATTTAATTATAACACGCATAATACCTTCGATTCTCTTTTATACGAAAACTTGTAAAAAGAGAATTGACTATACAAACAAAAAAGTGTAATATACAGTTGATATTTTCAGTTTATAGCAACAACAATTACGTATCCATTTTTGGTAGTATCGCATTGTATGGCTGTTAATGACTGTGGGTATGTTGACTTAATGTGTGACTAATATTTATATTTCAGCAGAATTGAAATGAGTATTTATACAGGAAATTTTGTTGATTCAGATTAGTTGCTGGTCTTCCTCCGCACATGCCAATTTGGAATAGCTGGCTGGAATGTTGGGCTCATCTTTCAGCTGCCAATCAGTTAAAGAGGGGAAACAGTCTTTTATGGCGATATTATACAGGACCTTCAGTAATAATAAATGGCATAATGACACCTCTTTACAAATAATTTACATCTATGCAGTGTGTCACAGTAATAATATTGCATTAATTTGTATTTGAGAGACCAACAGTAAAATCAATTCCGTGAAACTTATATTCTGTCTGATAAATTTACCGATATAGCATACAATTGCATTTATATATTTCTTAAAATTGATTTTAATTATTGCTGTGCACTAAGTATCTATTATAAACTATTTTCTGTAGTTCTATACTGAAAAATGCATTTTGTATGGAGAATTGAGCATTTCTTTTTTTTTTATAGATAAATACAACTATAGAGAAGAAAAAGTTGATTAATTAGAGGGCTTATAAATAGTAACGCATATGTAGATACGATTAATTGCAAGACAGAAGTGGTATCTAAGTAAAGAACTCTGGATTAGGTTTTGACTCGCACGAGTCCTGTGCAAAAATATTCTTATTATTTATTATGTTGCAACAACGAAAGAAAATACAGAAATTGCGAAACATAAATCAGAGTTCTTTATTTAGATACTACATCTATCCTACATGCTAATTATATCTACATATAAACTTTTAATATAGTATATAATATAAAATAAGATCGCAGTGTATAGATAAACATTTAGTACATATACAAATATCACCACATACATTTTATTATTATTTCAGTTTCAATTCACATTTCTTCTCTATGCAACATTTAAACCGATATCCTTTAAAGAAAACAAAATAAATTAAATATTTTCTCTTATATGAAGGTTGATATTTACAGATTTTTATATAAATATGTTAATTTTGTCAATAACAAATATCAAATAATGATTTAATTATAACAGTAAAATCAACATCTACGTTCAAATTTCTACTGTTCTTAAGAGTCCTATAATTTGATATAAAGTAACATTTATATATTAATATATTTTGTATATATACATGTGTAGATAAATTTTTGCAAACATATTAGATAATTATATGAAGTTAATAACTGATTAAATAAATTTGTGATAAATGTATCTATTATTGGTAGGATGCAAATTTCGTAATTACTTTCGAGTCAAAAAAATAAGTATTAATTGGGAAAGTTTGCAAAGCAGATTTATAAAAAGAATAGAACTCACAATCAAATGATAATAACAAAACATGAGACTTCTGAAAAGAAACAAAATTTTAATTCGTATTCTTTATTGTTTATTATTTCGATGGTTTCAATCATTTACAGCATGTTTTATCAGGCATCAAAAAGTTATACGAGTATTGCATTATTAGATTGTACCTGTCTTACTGAATATCCTACTAATGATACACAGAAGTCTATACTATATTGCGTATTTTTAATTTTTGTATAAAAAAAATATCCGCTTGAACTACAATATTACATATTACATAGACGTTCATCAGGTATTACATTTGAACTTCAATTTATCTATATAGTGCGACAAGACGAATGTGAATAATGAACAAAACGATCGACAAGTTATTTTTAACACATTTTTTTATATTTTAAAGTCTATTCAAATAAGGAAATCTGTACTGAAAGCATGTGAATGTATGTAGTGTTACTTCATGTTTGTCTTAATAAAGGCATTGCAATATTTTGCTAATAGCAATACGAAATTACTTTACCATATTCCAATCATTCCAATCTAAAACGAATTATCACCTGATATTACAAGAAACTTGAATTACTCGGCACAATATATATATTTTACATATTACAGCTATACCAGTTTGGACAATCACACGATACTTTTAGCTTCCTAAAGTCTAATTTTTTTGTCCTAGGCATTACTTTTGCTACAAAATCCATTATTTACACGTAAATAAAATTATGCTCCTCTTCATCCTGTTTCCTGTTATACAAATTCGTCCTACTATTAAAATCAATACTCCCTAATGTTATAGTATACGCATTCGTATAGAAATAAATCATAAAAAATGATCTTGACGAATTTAAAATAAAACCAAACTAATGGAGCATTTGTGTTGTTTATATTGCAAGATAATTTAATATGTAAGTGTAGTTTGTGTAAACGTGGCAACTAAAATGTCAAATGGATCATCTTAAATATTAACAAACTAGTGCATTTTTACAATTTTAATATGAAACAAAGGAATGTAGTTCTTTTAAAATAAATCGATATAATTTGTTTAATTTATATTAAGATTTTTTCAGACCTATACAATTCCATATTTTGTTTATAACTTTAAGAATTTATTTCATGTAAGTTCATGAAAACTTAATGTTATCCAAGCTCATATAAGGGTTACCATAGAACTGTACACTGTGTGTTTGATATCCTTTACAATGCAATAAAGATTCAAACCGTTAACATTTAATATTTATTTAACAAATATCACCCTTATATGTTATTAAATATAATAAGTAATTGCTGACGGGTTAATAGCCATAAGTTTTGTATTCTATTTATATACATACATAGAGGAATACTGTATTGTACGTCCAGGAATGTTTTACAGAACCAATGAATTCAGAAGCATATCGCAATTGTAATTACATTTATCTAAAGCATGTTTTTGTACATTTAAACAATAGATATGAAGCATATTAGAAGACTGTTCAATATTCACATTCCATGGCAAAGACTCGGTCAAATTCTTTGCAAACTTTTTATTTACGAATCTCTTTCGAATACTAACGAGTATAACGAAAGATTCCTTTTTCTTTAATATTATGTATGTACATACAATAGTAAATCTTTCATTGATCCTTATAAAAGAAAGAAAAACAAAACTTAAAATAAATAAAGTATTAATAGTACTGTGGCAGTATAATACTTAACATACTTGCAGAATGTAACTTTTTGGAGGATACGATCGTTATCTTATAATAACCTATCAATTACAATTTATAAGTTTTATCGTATCGATACCATATGGAATTATGTACCAATTCAATTGTTCCCAAAATAAGTAATTAACAAATTATGTAAACTACATGGTCTAATTTTCTTAGAATAATCGGCAATGTAAAAGTTCTACGCCGTTAACAATAATCTGCCAATTTAATAACAAATAATTTCAGATCTCATTTTATTTTAATTTTTTATGTATTCGTAATTACTTAAATGATAACTTTTTCTCAAAATAATTTTCTTCTATTTGTTGTATCATAGAAAGTATCTAGAATGCAAAATTAATTACTCATTAAATATTTCTAGAGTATGGAACTTTATGTATACTCGTTTATGACATACGCAGTACTTGTAGAAATTTTTAGAGAAATATACACAATATTGAAAATATAATAATGACTATTCAAAGGATTCTATATGCTTATAATATTGTAACAAAAATATTGTTTTTAATTCTATATTTACTATGGAAAATTGACTCGTATTTGTATACTTGTAGAATAGCCAATTTTTGGTATATTCCAAAATATTTTGTATAACGTTTGTCTGATGGAGAGATTTAAAAACGCATACTTTACAGAAATTATCTATACATTATACTTAAAGTTTACATTCCTATTAATAAAGCTGTTTGCAATGCCTTATACATATATTAATATTTGTATATTTTAAAATTTCATTGTCTGAATATTTGAGTATGTTTTACTAAATATTACAATTAAGTTTAATACATAATTCGTTTTTATACTGCATAAAGTTCCATTATCTTAAAGTTTCGTATCGATCTATATCTTTGTATGATATAATTCGACACATGAAAAATATTATGCAGTAGTCTGCATAAAATGATTCGACGAGAATGATGGAAATAAGTTTATTATCGAAGATCTCGTTGATCGGGATCGTTGATTAGGAATAACAGAGTGAAAATTGTAATTCTCTATTACATATTTGTAAATTGTTTGTGTTTTACTTTAAACATAAATTAGGCCATAGAGAAAGTGTAGGAGTAATTTTCGTTAAACACGAATTGCTATAATACTTTTGAGACTAAATAGTACTCACAACATACACTGGTTTATACTTGAATAAGAAATATCATGATACATCATGTTTACTTTGATTCTATACGTGGGCCTTCGAAGAAAGGACAATCATACGTATGTGCACATTAATTTAATGAACATTGTTTATCATCGTACCTATTGTAATTACCATCAGTTCGCGATCAGTTTTCTGTGTATAATACAACGCAAATTTAGTTTTATTCACCTAAATCTGTGTTTAATACTAATTCTCAGAGTTGGGTGTTATTCAAATAAATCCTTATTTAGATAATTATTTCGATACAGCATTTTTATTTAAATAATTTATCCGGATAGTTGATGTTCGTTATTCGCAGTGTTCAACCATGACTTCTTAATAAAACGAGGACCGACAAATAAATACTTATTCGCTACGTAAATGAGAAAACAATTTGTGAAATATTCTACTTGTGGTATATATGCTGTAGGTGATTTTTCTCTAGTAGTTGTATATTTATGTAGTCACGTAGTACTTGTCCTACTCTTGTGTAATTTTTCATGTATTTTTTGTATGAAGTATAAAGGATTATTTTCTCACTTATGTAATATTTAACAAATAACATTTTATTTTAGACAAAACGTTACTCGTTATTATCTTTATCGATTATAGAAATAAAAATATGCTTAAACACTGCTAATTGTAATGTCATGAATTATTTTGTTTGCTCGTTAATTATATGCCTACCAAATGAACAGATTATTTTAAATCTAATTCAACTTCCGGAGTTTCTAATGAAAATGGTTTGAGACTCTCTACTATCGGTGTCTGATCGGGATCGACCCGTATACGGATCCGATTAGTTTCTAATGATCGTGGAAGTGTACGTGGAAGATCGTCTTTGTATGAGCCAGATATAGGTGAAGTATACGGTACATAAATTCGTACAACATCTGGACTCGGTTGATGAGGCGTAGCTCTGGGAGTAGGCAAACCACCGCTACCCGAGCTAGCATTAGAAATATTACTTTGAGTATCGAGACTATTGTCTAACGCTTGAGACCGTGTTGCCGAACTAAATACGGAAAGGTCGGCTGTCGAAGTAACAGATGTGTCTGCCAATGACCGGCGCGAGCCATTGGGAGAGGCCCCATCATCAAGACTTGGATCAAATGAGAATTTGCTTCCTGCACACATATTCAATTTTTATTATACTGTCATAGGATGTTGGACCAAACATGTTTTCTCAAAATAGTTCCATAGAGTGAGTGTACTACATTTTCGATTTAGAATTGCCTCTCTTTTCTTAAACGCGTTTCAAAACTACTTATACTATTTAAACGTTATCTTTATATGGGAATAATTTTACTATGGTTT